CTGGTAATGTTGCCTTGTCATAGACGAAATGAGATGGAGTATAAGAAAGTCAGGGATTTGGAAAAACGATTTTAAATGCCGAAGGTAATGGCGGAAACTTTTATTAAAGAACAGCAGCAGTAGATACATATGAATGTACACATGTATGTATATATGTCATTAGCTATAAAAATGTTTGGTGCTTCCTCTGCAAGTATTGAACGAGTCCCACACATATGAGCACAACTCCTGTTCTGTAACTTGCTTATATGCCAACCCTACTTACCGAGAGGCTTAAAGCCGTTTCTTCACTAAGCAAGATACATATTTCAGTTTTAATAGCCTACGTTGAGACTTGCTTTGGTGCCGTTCCAAAGAAATAAAGTTAAATCTTTAACAAATACTCTCCTCAGTCGAAGCTGCCAATTGCCGAAGTTGGGGACTAACCAAAGCGATAAGAATTAGCAATACCAACGGTAAGCAAATTATAGTAGGAGGTTCCTGGTAACCGAGGTCACAAGGTCCTATTAACTGAAGTTTGAGCGATTTGAGACCATTTTTATTTCAGCATGGAAGAAGAGAAGCCCGAACATGTCCAAGTTAGGAGAAGAAGTTGCTATGAAGAGGACATACGTTGGGAGCTAGGTTGGCATTTAAAAACTCGTTATCGTTGAGGGCTAAAAAAAAACATAATTTGAAACAACAACAATTTTTCGTAGCACATTTAAACTCCCTAGTTTTCATAATAATAATAATAAAATTTTGGCGCTTACACTTTTATTAAGAGTTTGGCCGCCCCTCCCCCCCCCCCAATTTGTAGTGTGCGCCCTGATGTCATAATACAAATGGAGCTACCTACAATTTTACACCGCCTCCGAATGGCAAATGGTTTTCAGGAAATTCTTTTTTAAGGCAAAAAATATGTGTATTCGAACTTTTTCCTATTGACGATCGAGAGGCGACCATCCCTGCAAAAAAAAAACCTTTTCTAATGTGAGTTTGACGGTTGAATTTTTAAGCATTAAAACCCCCGTAATTGAACGTGAAACCGCTATGCGACTTAATGGAACAGCTTATAAAATTTCTTTACCAAAATTTTTTCAATAATTTTAACCTCGCAATCTACATTTTTTTAAGAAAAATAAAAGAACGGGTAGATTACACCCTGTTAATCGGCTTTTTTACTGTTTCTATGACAAGCATAAAGTTTAAGGTCAATTTATACATAATTCAATTTTGTACGAAAGGATGTAAACTTTAACCCACTGTAAAAAAATTAGGAAGATTCAGAATAAAATGTCCTTATGGTTTGTATATTCTTCATAGATATGTATATACTTGCGTTTGAGCATAGTTGCATTGAGACAGTTAACCAAAACCCTGAAACTGTTGCACAGTGTTGTCAGACAAGTATTTGGTCAAGAGGCCATTTTAGAAGGAACTACTAAAATGCATTGAAAAAGTATGCGCACACATGAACTTAATGGAAAGTGAAGTATAGATTTTAATAAATTCATATACGTACGTATAGGGGTGTTCGATTATTCGCCTTTTTACAAAACCGGCTTTCGTATTATTCGAAAAATTTGCAAATCGAAAAAAAACCGGTTCCAGATTTTGAAATTAACAATAAACCGAATAAACCGCTTTTCTTTTACATAGTTTTGATACAATGAAAATGCTTATGTTGATATGAAGTCATGACCAAAAATTACAATAAAACTATTAAAAATAAAGATAGATTGCATTTAGAAAAGAGTAAAGCAAAATATGTGGGTTAAAATTTTTTTTTAGATCAAAAGAAAAACAAATAAAAATCAATGAAAAAATCACGTTTGATCTCTTTTTTCATACTTTCATGCATTTTTTCTGACTTTTTTCGGATCGAGTAGTAGGGTCCAGCAACATCAAAAAAAAAAAGGTTTTTCAAATAGCGGTCGCCCATCGCAGACAATGGCAAACCTCCTAGTGTACACACCTCTGTCATAAAAAGTTTCGTCTGCAGCAGAGCACGAATTGAAGGAGAAGCTCGGCCAAACAGGTAGAAATCGTTTAAGCGGCAAACATTCATTTATTGGAATCAAATATGATATACTGTTCATCCCCAAATAACCTGGGATATAATTTTAAAACTATTTAGGGGTTTGCCTTAAACTGGAAAGAGCTTTGAAAACTTAGAAACAGTCAAAGCTTTTATTGACAGGCCAAGATTTGTATGCAATGAAAAAAAAAAACCGGTTTGTCGGATAAAAAATCCGCCTTATTCGGTATTCGAAAAATCAAGATTTCAAAAAAGAAATGCCTAAAAATATCCAAATAATTGTTGGAACCCGTTTTGGAAAAACCGAGTTAATCACCCTAGTACGTACACATATATATACATTTTGTTTCACTTACACTCACACAAACACATTGAGAACTTTCGAATTTCAACTTTCTCGCAAACTCCGCTGGTATCGACTTAAATGTTCGATTAGTAGTGTAAGCGTTAGAAATACGATTAGTGCAAATTGCACTTAACCCAAGAAAATGAACTTTCAAAATTGCTTATCCAGAGATGAGCATCAGCCATGGTCATTATTGAATGGCATGCTCTTAAATAGCAAGCCAAACATACATACATATGTACATACATACATACATACATAATGTACGCCATTTTAAATATCCCATACACATGTAAAGTATTTATCTACATATATGTACTTATAAGTACAAGTATGTGAATGTGTGGGGTTTTTCCGAGAATATGCCACATACTTAAACTAATCGCAGTGGCAACAACACTTTGTGGCTTGCATATGACTTTTTGACACACAAATACATATACAAGTAGAATGTGTGTTTGTATGTTCGATTTTATAAGTGTTTACTCAGTCAGGAAGGCATTCAGCCATCAACTATCAGTCAGATAACAGTCTTTTAAAAACCCTTCACCACCCTGCAGCTACCTAATGCCGCTAGTTAGATGCTCCATCCTTTCTATTCGAAATTCTATTTCCCCCCTCTCCAACTCAACATTAGTGTGTGTGTGGTGGGGGAATTGCAACAGCGCACACAAACTTCACTCCATCACATTGGCCATAAAGTGCGAATGCATAATTAATTCCAATTATGAGTTTACAAACATTGGCATCATTCACTCACTCACATAAAGGACAGAAGCAAAAAGCAAGTGGGGGTGTGTGGGAGGCTGTGATGAGCAAAGGAGCAACAAGCTTTATGACGCTTGGCAGCTAAATGTAGCAGTAGTTTTGGTAGTTTGTATGTAGGAATTAAAGTGATGTTGTGACATTGAGCGTTTGATGGCAATTTTGTACATGCACGCACGTACATGCATACGCACGCTCATGCAGCATACAAAAGCTCATTTTCGGTTGTGACTGACACTTTTCTGCTTGGCATGGTTCAGCTACTCCCTTTTTTCATTATACTGGCATTTCCTAAGTTGGCATTTGTGTCTTTATCATTTAAGTTTCCTGGCCACTGAGGTAATTTTGGAGAAAACTTTCTACATTGTTCTAGATTTTCATGTGACGTATTACTAAGTTGGAATACTTGTTTAATTAGTTGAAGAATCTGGTGGATGATAAAATTTGTAAGAAGCGTTTAGGATGTGTACATATTAGAGTGTGTCTGTTATTTTCTTCCATACGAGGCATGTTCGAGGATTATTTATATGCAAGAAAATGAGCGACATCTTCAAAAACAAAAAAACTGCCAAATATCAACGGTAAGTTCTAGCTACTCCAAACTTACACGTTATAATATGTACTAAAATTTACGGGATAACAAGGTTTTTTTATTTTTTGTTAAATTTAATTGTTTGCAAAAAAAGTAGCGGACACAAAATTATTCATTGAAAATTCTGCTTTTTGAGAGCCCTAACTGAAAAACTGAAATAGAGGGCTAAAATTTTGCCACAATTTTTTGGTGACCTACAATGATATTTTCATAAGGGTCCGAAAAGGTGAGAAGGTAAATTTTATTTTATAAGCTACCTAAATTGGACATTGGAAGCAAGTGGCAAACCTCTTCAAAATATTTTCATACTACTACCTTCTGAACAGTTCTTTCTTGTGGCACTCGTATCCTGATACATATTTCTCTTGCCTGATTCTCTTAACTCAAATTGAATTTTATTTTTTTAAACAGGTGGCAACCCTTCTGTAGTGAAGTTAAGAAACAAGGCTTTTCAAACCCATTTCGATTGATATCCATTTTGTTAAATTTTTTTTTTAAATAGTTTGAATATAATTTTATAAAATTTGGCAAGCCTTTTCAAAAAAGTAAAACCTTATTTTACCTTCTGGGAAGATCGAACGAACGGTGCGGATAAGATGTCACTGATTATTAAATAATTTCAATTCAGTTGTTCAACAGGTGGCAACTCTTTTCGAAAAAATAAACCCATGTAGTAGTTCCTCTACTTGATTGGCGCTGAAACTGCCGAAGCGATTTTGGACAAGTCCAACAAAGTACGCCAGTCCTTTCCGTTCTGTGACAACTGACGCCAATTGGAAATGTCAAGTGAAGCCAATTCCTCCGTTACCACGCCGCGAATCGCCTTGAATACTTTCAGAGCTGGAGCTTTTTTGTCCATTCAGACGCCCGCTTGCAGCCGCACCTACGCCGAAAGCGAATCTCTTCCAATTCTGTGTTGTTTAAAAAATATGGCCTCTGTTGGCAGCGTTGCAGTGAAATTTGAGCGAAGACATTTTTTTTTTTTAAGTTTAGATTTTGGCCAGTTATACCCTCTCTAGTTTTGATTAGTGAAAATACCAGATCTTAATTAGCTCAGTTTTTCATTTATTTAATTATATTGTAAAAAAAAATAAGATATATACAAACATGCACGCAAAATAATTATAAATATCAATGGACAAAAAATGGAGAATAAAAATAAAAGTATATAAAAATAAATTTTTTTACTTGACACACATTAAAAGTTTGCAGCAACAACACGCGCTTTAGCTCACTGCCAAAACCACGCAGCCTCTCCATTCTCAGCGCTCGCTCCACTAATATTCTCTTATGTCTTGCTCTTGCATCAATTCAGACGCCTTCAGCAATCGTAAAAATTCGGGCGTGTATGGTAGATTGTATGCTTTTAACGCCTCTTCATCGTCAGCCTTTTCCTCTTCCAACTGTTTCAACAATTCACGCTGCCGTCGGGCTTGCATTTCACTCTCAGATTCTTCAGTATCAGTCATCGCTGGCACTTGCACCTGTTGCGGCAGTGCCCGCTGCTGTTCCGGCTCCGCCTCCCGCTGTGGTTCCAGCACCTGCTGTTGTTGTGCCTGCTCCCGTTTTCTCTGCGTCTGCTCCTCCTTTATGCTTTCCAAAAATCCGAGGTTCTGCAGCAAATCATCACGCACGCCAACCATCTGCTGCTGTTCTACAGCCGGTAAATCGTCGTATTCACGTAGCAGTTTCTTAACGATACGCGAACGCTGCTCAACGCGATTGGGGTCAATGAGACGCACCTCTTTACTGAACTCTTCGAATGGACTTTCAAGGCTGCCGCGCTTCTCGCGCACACCCTCCGCGGAGTTACTCTCAAAGACATCTAAAATCTGCTCGTAGAAAATTTTCAGCTCGGGCGGCAGCGGTATGCAGGAGCGTTGCTCTACTTGGTCGTCGATTATGTCACTGATGGCCTCCATGGCCTGCTCAACCATGTCTTCGATGTGATTGACGTCATCTTTTTGCTTTTGATTTGGAAGTGAGAGCAAGAGAGAGAGCAAAATATTTTAGAGTGAAATAATAAGTGTTGATAAAAGTCAGTTTGTTCAGACCATTTTCTCAAAGCCGGTCTCTTGCGGTGGGGCCTTCTTCATGCATTGTTGATTGTGCTTCAAACTGGCCCATAAGGATTTCATTTGAGGATTGCATTTCGCCATATTAAATATAGACGTAATGACGTCCACAGCTCCCCGCCCGGTCATGGACGCTTCGTCGCAACTGCGAAGAGAAAACCCGTAATGAGTAAATGTTCATGCGTGCGTTATTTTAAGGTGCTTGTAAACTCACCTCACCTTCGGCTTGGTACACTTTCGCTTTGTTGCATACCGCTTGAATGGCGCGAATTGAGGAAAGGAAATTCCACGGCGTTCGCGCTCTTCGCTCTGCACTTTGAACGTGCCATTGCCAAAAAAGTTCTTCGCCTTCTGATCGCCCATGACGCTTGCATTTATGGTAATATTCAGCTTCATCGCCTTCTGGCCGTATGCACCCATTGGGCGCTGCGTAACTGGTTGGATTTCAACAGTCATATTAATTGTTTCCATGCTCAAATTATCAGAAGAATTACCGTCGTTGCTGGTCGGACCGAAGTTAGTCGCAGCGGGCCCACTGCCACTAGCACCTCCAGCGCCACCATCGCCACTATTTCCACCACATACTTTTTTGTCATTGCCCATACCATTGCTTCCGCCTCCGAACCGGCCATGATCACCATGAGTGGCGCCTGCGTGGCCAGCACCTTGACGTTCATTCGCTGATTGTCCGCCGGCTTCATTTTCACTACTGCCTCCATGATCCTTACCGCTATGACCATCTCCACCGCGTTCACCACCTCCATGTGCTGGCCAATTGCCTCCCCCTCCCCTTCCGACACCATCATGCGCGCCGTGTCTGTGCCCGTTTGCACCTTGTTGCTCGGTTCCCTGCCCACCACTGCCTTGCTTGTGGTCCCCAACGCTTTGCCGGTCTATACAGTTACCATTATGACTCTTAGCGGTAGCATTACCGCTAGCCGCGCCATTTACACTCTCATCAGTCTTTCGGTCACTGACTTCCTTATTTTGCTGCTGCACTGATTTCAGAAAACCCTCCAATGTATTAAACGCTGTGCAGTTGAGCACTTGATCGTTCAGTTTCAATACCATGCCATCTTCTGCATTTTTACCGTTGCTCGCTTTATTTTTACTCTTACCAAACCAACCAAAAGGTGAGGACTCCCGATTATCATTGCCTTCCTCTTCTTCGCTTCCGGCTTTCTCATTCGCCACACTCGCGTCCTTTTCCTTTCCTTTGGGTTCCTCTTTTCTTTCAATGCTCTTGATGGCGCCATTTTCCATTTTAATCGTCAGTGCGGTGCGTTGTTTATTCGGCTGATTTTTATTTGTATTTTCTTCAGTTTTAGGTAAATCGGTTTCTTGTGGACTGTTACTGTTGTTGTTGTTGTTGTTGCTATCGTTGTCCGTGCTGTCGTTATCGCCATCTTCTTCCCATGGATCATTGCCATACCAAAGATTATCGACTGGTATTCCATCGAAATTTTGAGCATATTGGTCGACCTGCTTAAGATTATCGAACTGTTGATTCCCGAACTCGCCAACTGAGTTGCTAAAATCACGTTCTTTCTCCCGCTTTCGCTCCCTCTCGCGTTCACGATTGCGTAGTGAGAGTCGTCTTAATCGCGCCATCAGATCTCTGTAGTCCACTTCAAGTGGTTCTTTATTGTTGGCACCATTTCTTCCTTCTCTTCTAATGTAAGCGGCTCGTGCAGCATTCATCGCTCTACGATCCGCCGCAATAACAGCTGCGTCGTCGAGCGGTTCAGTTCTTCGAAATGCCGTATCAGTAGCTCTTTGATTATCATCGCTTTTGAGGCGAGATTCTCGTCTCCCGGATGCTGTAGGACCTGCCAGCTGGTCAACCGGCATTCGGTTTCCATAGTCTGCGAACAAGGCAGGGTCTATGGTTCTTCGTTCTTCATTGTAGTTTTCACCTTGTCTCATTGGGGATTCATCCCTTTGACCCGTCGAAAGCTCTTCAGACGCTCGCGCTGGTGCAAAGTTTCTGTTATCTGCCAATAGCATTCTAGTTTCTATAATTTTTCGGTTATCGCTGTTGTTATCCGCTATGTCATCCACATTATGGGCCGCTCGTTTACCCATCGGATGTTCAGAGTTCTTAGCGTCCGGCGCCTGGCTTTGAATTGATTTATTTGCATTGTCTTTCTCATCGGCGGATTGTATTACCTTCAATGTTTCATCATTTGTCCTTTCCTTTTCTGTGTCTTCCGCCGTGCCTTTAGCATCGCGCACCTCTCTGCTCCTACGAAAATGTCGTCCTTTATTCACAGAGCGACGCATTCTTTCGCATCCGTTCAGCACATGCAATTTATCGTCACTGAAATCCTCTCTCTTTGTTAAGGGCAATTCACGTCTGCGTCTGCTCAATACTTTCTGCCCTGGAATGACACTTCCATCACCCTGCCCGTCCCTGTTTCCACTTTCAACTTTCCCTTCTTGTTCTACACCCCCCTTTGCTTTCCCGTTCACCTCCCGCTTTGGCTTCAGTTTCTGCACCGTCATCAAATCCAATAGTTCATCCAAATCCACCTCCTTAATTCCGGTCATTTCGCCGGCCTCGTTGCGCACTCCTATGCGTTTGACGCGCCGCTTCGAACCGCAGTTGGCATTTCCATTTGAATTTGCTTCTCTTCTAAATTTGGAAATAGTCCCCACGCCCTCATCTTTATCACTCGCATCTGTTGTCTCCTTAGTTTTAAAATTGTCATCCCGCTCACCACATCGTTTTGACTTTTCCGCCATAGGATCTTCTAGAGCCTGACTTAAATTTTCATCGAAAACTCGCGCACTCGCTACTTTGTTGATTATATCTGAATCAGATGTATCTGCAGCCGATGAAACGGGCACTGAGTCCTTCTGATTTTCTATCGGTATTTCCGGCACTGACACTTCCGGCGCAGGTACCACGTCAGCTAGCGCTTTGTTATTGTCCGCCGGCGTAAGATCGGGCCATTGCATAGCCAGTGCATCGTCTGGCGAAGCGGTATCAAGATTTTGTGACAGCATTTGATCGTCTTCGCAGGAGTTTTTAATCACCCGTTTGTTGTGCATTGGATCTAAAAGGTCGCTGCTGTCGTCTTCGTATGGTTCCTGCTCCAGTCTTCTTTTGCGTAGAATAGTGTAGGCTGGTGAAAATATCACATCATCCGTTTTACTTTTTTCGTCTTTCTCTTCCTTTGAAAGCTCCGGTAAGTTATCGTAAATAAGTTTTTCGTATGCGCGCTCTTCCACATCTTCGAGCCGCCTCAATCGCTCCTGCCAATCGAGTATGTCCTGGGACACTAAAGATCCGTGCCGACTGTTCTCGTTATGTTCATTTTCACTGTCCACATCAAAGTTCTTTTCCAATCTCTTTACAGCATCATCCAGTTGAAGCTCTTGCTGTGTCTCAGAAAGCGCGTAGCTGGGTAGAGAGGGACCCAAGCCTTTTGCCATCAGCCTTGTGCTGGTCTTTAATTTAATTTCATTCATTGGGTTGAAGCCTGAGCTACGCTTCCAAGGCACTTTCACTTTATTGTCTAAGGCTGGCATGTCACCGCTTCTCTCACCACTGCTCGTGTGACTCTTTCGCGGTTCAGATTGCTCTTGCTCTATTTTCGAAAGCTTATAGTCAGCCTCATGCGACAAATCATTGCGCCCCAAATCAAATTGATCATTTACAATGCTCGGAAAGTGTATGTTCTCTATAGTTTTCTCATAGCTGATCGGTTCATCATCGTCTGTGGAATCAGATTTGGACTTTTTTGCAAAGTCTTCCATTGAGGAGTCAAAGTCCAGCTTGAAGTGTGGAAAGTCCACCTTTTGCATCATTCTATGTACCTCTGGATCGACTTTCTTCTCATTCAACTCCTCCAAGTTATCCATTTCTTTCTTGGAATTCAAGGAATTTCGGTAGGTGTTTGCTTCGAGTAGTAAGATGGTATTCAATTTGCTTTTCGCATTACTTTCCTTATTTGGCTGGGGTTCGCGAAGATCTGAGGTGAATTCCATATAAGTGTCGCCAGATTTAGTACGCTCTGCATTGCTCGCCAATGGCTTACAGTTAAAATAAGCTTTGGTGACTACGCTGGAGCCATGGCCGGTATCCTTAAGTGCGTTATTAAGATTCGAATTCGCATTAGCGCTGTCCGACGAGTCGAACTTGGAAAATGTTTGTGAATACGGCGCACCAATAGAACCATCTTTACCCAAATCCATATCGATGTTGAAGTTGTCCTTAGCGCCCAAGTTCGATTTCCAATCAAAGTTGGAAATGAAGCTGCTATCCTTGTTGAAATTGGCATTTTTATTGTAACTGCCTTTAGTCAAGGTGCTGTAATTATTTGAATCCTCCTCTTTGCTGACATTTTTTTGCCTATCTTCTTTAGTCAACGCTTTGTCTGAGTCCGAATTTGTGCCTGAACTACTTGAACTCTTCGAACCCTTGCTCGCTTTGGTTCTTTGCAGCACATCGTCCGTATTTACGTTCGAATTGCTGCTGTGAAAGCTATTCAGCAGTTGCCTATGCAGATTCTGAAAGCGGGAATTTGCGCGCACCAACTCCTTCAATTGGTCATTGACTTTGGTATTTTTAGCCATTTCGTCGTTGTTGTTTTTGTTTTCGTTGCTTTTGGTGTCGCGTCCCTGCAACGGGTGCATAAAATCGTTCTCCGAATCGAGCGCCTCGCGCTCTAAATTCAAATTTAGGTCGAGTTGGGAATTATGGAGCAGATCATCGATAGACTTGCGTCGCTGTTGCTGCAATTCAGCGTTGCCACTCAGCGCTGGCGATTCTTCGACATCTTGCAAAGCATCGGAGGCTTCATCCAGCGTTTGCTTAAATTGGACGAGCTCATCGCTAACAGCGGTGCGTATGTGTTGAAACTGCGCGGCAATGGTTAGTACAAAGAAGAAAATCGCGCAGGAAAATTTCATTTCTTCTTTGAGTTTGAAAAAAACATTTGAATTTGTCAATATTTTTTATTTGTTTTCACACTAAAGTCATTTCAGTGTTTTTTAAGTGCTGTAAAACTTTTTGTACTTTTCGATGTCGTTGAAGGTTACCACAAAGAGATAAAATAAAATAAGCTTATAAAATTTAATGAAAGTAAAATAAGTAGCAGATTTATTAATATAAACATAAGGGTGGTCTCTAAATTTAGGAATCAAATTTCTCCATTAGCTTTCCTAATCCTCAACCCCTACGTCGATACTACAATAGTCGAAGATGTCACATATAAATTTGTGTCCCGATTGAAGTCGGTTAAGGCGGGTTGAACAGGGGACAAAGTTCAGATTACCCTATGAAGCCGTGTGAACTGACTCAAAGCGCGACCAAAATTTATATGTGATGCCTTTGACTATGGTAGTATCGATTTTGGGTATTAGATTAAAAAAAAATACTTTTAATATTTTTAGTCTCTATAGAGGCATCAGAACTTTGCCCCCTGTGCAACGCGCCTTAACCGACTTCAATCTGGACCAAAATTTATATGTGAAGGCTATGCCCGTTGTATAACCGATTGCGGGGTGAGACTCAAAAATATCAAACACTTTCTGGAATTCAGAAGCTTTTACCAAAAGCACCTACTATCCCTTTGAAATTTAAAGAATTCCAAGCGATATTCCACAATATAGCCAAGCGGTTATATAGAGGTTTCAAACCTGCAACTCGACGATATTCCAGATTGAATCTAAACCTTTGCCAAATAAATTTTGAAAAAATGGATAAAAGGACGAACAGGATCATGGGCGTAGCCAGGTAGGGGAAGGGGGGTGCTCGAGCCCCCCCCCCCCTAACTTTCAAATTTTCCTTATATATATATAAAACAGTACCCTGAAATTCCAGCTTAATAGGGTCGAGAATTGAGTTGGTAGAGGGTAAATTTGACAATATTGAATAATCTCCAATTAAAATTTACAAAGATCGATCCATTTTAATCGGAAGATGAAATTAAATGCGTATTACAATTCGAATGAAGCTACATCACAATTTTATAATTGGAATAATTTAGATAAATTCTCAAATAATAAGTCAGTTTCACGCTAGTTCTTTTAAAGTAAATTTGTGCATAACATTTAGATATCTACTATTTGTATGTTTCACAGCATGCTTTCGATAAACATCGACTTCACATCACTGCGGTTGTTCTGGCTATTTCACACAATTAACAAGAAAATGATACCTTATTCTTTTGCATAATCATGCAATGAAAATAAGAATTACGTAAACGGATGATCAAACTTGACATTATTTAATAAAAATGTAATTTTTCCAAAATATCGTAAAGAAAAATCGATACATTTTCACACTCGTTTTGCTATATCGTAAACTAAGTCGAAACTACATAGTAGAAGTCTGAAATGCGACTATGAATAGAGGTAAATTTTAAGTTGGTACTTAAATTTAAGTTGCAACTTTGTTAGTTTCGACTTAGTTGCAGGACTATGAATACGCGCCTATGTTGTTTACGAAAACTGCGAGGTCATGGCGAGTTAACACTAAAAGCTTCCTCAACTGATTTTGTGGGCCCGGAACCACTTAAAAGTCAGTTGGTGTTCTTCGATAGCCACAGTTACTGCCTTGAAAGTGGTAGGTTGTCTTAGAAAATGCAGGCACCTCGGCTATCCTTTTGATAGGAAGCAGACTTCAGAACACTTTCTATGTAAACTATGTGACTAGACAAAGATTTGTTAATTCTAAAGCATCTGTACCAGAACCCTATATGCTTTTAAAAATTATTAGGGAGCTCGAAGGTATATTAGGGTTTCTGGGTTGGGCACTTTTGTTAGGAAAGCAAAACATCTCTCAGATCGCTGTGTTTCTTGTTCCTGATAAATTGCCAACGAACTAACAAGAATATTCTTAGAAGAGCGTTCCTAATATTAGAGTTTAATGTGATTACGGATGACGAAAACAACTTTTAAGTTATGCCAAAAGTTTATTCCAACCACAAACTACATGCAAAAGTTCCCAGCCGCTGGGTCTGGAGTGGGGTTTCCAACAATGGCATTGATGGCATCTGTTTCAAGGCAAAAGGGAAACTCTCTGATCTTTCATGCCTCTTCGCTGCATGGGGGCCTTGCGTCTCCCTTACAAAATCAATAGCCACCAACAACTGCTCATCTGGCGGGCAAGCATTTAGGCATACACGTCCCAAGTACACCAATATCAATTATTAATACCCGTGGTTTAAAAAATTTGCGCGACTGCCTTCAACACCTTGTTTTTCTTCTCAGCGCACACAATCGCAATAATAACAAATAAATTAAAAATGTGACAAAAACATATAAAAATGTAAACATATATGTAAGTCAATTGGCCGGTTCGCTCTAAATTATGTTGTAATAGTTTCGTCCCCAAGAACTTGAGGGTTACAATGAACAGAGGTACGTGGCTATCAGAACATCGTACACCGGACTGTAACGCGATGCCTTCTGATGTCACTTGAACATATACATAGTATTTCCTGCTCGGCTATTATCGTAGGGAATACCTAAACTGGTATGACTCCTAGAAGCAGTTCCATAACTGTAGTAGTTAAATTCCCACTTATTTAGATTTATGCGGCTTAGGAAGACACCTATGATGACCCCAATCACGTTTTGGCTAACCCCCGTAAGCCCAACCACCTAACAATGCATTCCCTTTGGTCCGCCACGTCGACGCAACGCCTTTCCTGGATCAGCCGTTGGTTGAGCTCTGCGGTAACGATTGCGAATTAAGGCAGGGTTTGGTAGTATCTCTACAATAACAATCCCTAGTCCTAGTTCATTACTTGCTACCAAAGTCTTTAAGAGTACCTACGTTTTCTAACATTCAATGTTAATGACGATTTTCTCTCCTCGCTTTGGATTCATAAAAACATGTTAATTTAAAACATTTATTAATACATTTTCGTTCTACACTTTATATAGCATTTATAACTCCGTTTTTCAACTGTTCCAAAACATCTACATACATCTACCACCATGTGGCACTTCTAAATCATAGACAATGAATACTAATGACACCTTTGCCAGATCGCTCTTCAAACACAGACACAAAGCCATTGTTGCAACAGGATGCCAACTTCATCCCGAACTCCACGCGAATCCCGCACCAAAAGTGTTTTCGCTGCAGTGCAAGGTGCAGCATTCAACAGGTACGCGCGCGCGCGCGCAACAACTCTTTTTCGGAAACTTCCAAACTAACTTCAAATCAAAGCTACAGATAGTAGAGACCGACGCGGCTGTGGCTTTTGCTGTTACTCGCAGTTAAATTCTATTGAATTTGAAAACTTTGAAGACATTTCCGCCAAGCATACGCGCGTGTTTGTGTGTGTGTGTGTGTGTGTACTTAACTACGCGCCGCAGTTCTTAACGGCACTGCAACAGAGATAACAAAATAATAACAATAATATTTTTATGCCACACGTGATGGTAGAGTCGCTCTATCGAGCGTTTGCATGTATATACTTGTGCCCACAGGCCACCCCTGCTGCTATTTTAAAGTTTTCGAAACTTTTTTCACACTCTCGCTCGCTGTTCGCACACAATCATCCGCGCGCTGCCAACAGCCAACAGCCAACAGCCAACACCAGCACAACTCACTCATGCCGCATCACTTCCGCCACATGTTGACAGTTGTTGTCATTGTCGTCACATAGTGCAACATTTCCTACGCCACATCCGCACTTTGCACAAATGCAATAAAAAAAAGGCAGGCATCAAGGTAGTAGGAAAGTTTGCACCGTTTGAGTACTTACATACATGCATATGTATGTGTGAGTGTGTGCGTTTGCGCTAACACTTTGCCGCTTTTTGTTTGGCACCTCTACCTCGGTTTTTGCTCTGTATGTAGCAGTTCCTGTGCCATTGACGTAATCGTTCGGCATTCATTTCCATGCAGTTGTTGTTGGTTTTTTTATTGTATGTTCTTTGCAATTCACAGGACCCCTTCGCTGCTCACCATGCCCATCAGCGCAACCACAGCCTGCGATGCGCAGTCAGTCATTCAGCCAACATGTTTTACAATTGTTTCACTATGATTTTTGTTCGCATTGATTTGTATTCATTCGGCTCAACAGCTGCCAGCAGTCGATAGGCTCCACTTCCATATGTCAGCACTGTTGCCACTTCCTCCTTCTCCCTGTTAACGTTTGCCTCGCTATAGCTTTCACAATGAGGGCTCTTTATCTACTGCAACCACATGTCTGTCTGTGTGACTGCTGCTGTTGCAAGTTTAACTTTTTCAAACAATACAATTTCCTCTTAAAACTTTGTCGTGTTTCCATTTACACTTACTTGTATATTTATTGTATTAAACAGACTCGGTAAGCGTGGTGGTTAAACAGTCTGGAGGTAGAGCGATTTAATTCGGTTACAGCTCTTTTCATGATGATACTAGTTCCGCTATGATTTTATGCTTGTTCAAGTTTCTTGCACTGCGGTTCTTGGACTCGCCTCCATAAGAACCGAACTTAACCGTCGTTTGGCGCGGCAGAGATGAGGAACGCCTGCACACAGTCAAGAGTAGGTAAATAGGAGCACGCAGCCAGGTCGCGGTTGTTAACAACCTTATAGAATAACTTGAATAAGGCGGCTGTCCAATGATTGTCAATGTAGATGACGCGGCGCTTATGGTTAGAGGCAGATCTTTGTATACAGGTATCATTTTGCTCTGAGGCTATCTGAACTTCGTAAATTAATGGGCTGCCTCGCCGTTATTCACTAGGTAGTTGGATGGAGCTCTTACTTCGATAGTAGGCGTTAGGCTGTAGATTTCTGATAGGGTCAAGCACTTAGCTCTTGGACTGGAATCTTTCGCAGAAGCCAAACATTACTTCGGACTACTTTCTTATTAGGCTAATTTAGGTTTGAGACCACAGCGACATTGCAAGCAAAAATTGAGGCTGGTTGCACCTCTGGCTTCCTCTGGAGCACTTTAGACCAGT